AATAGCTGTGAGAAATGTAGACTGCAGCTGTTCATCTCAGAGAGGTGTTAGCAGAGATGTCAGAGGATGATAATTGAAATGGCAACGTCCTCCCCACCTCTTCCATGAGACAAGCCGAGATGTGCATCAATTTGCTGCGAGCATTTTGCAAATGCTGTATTGCTCCTGTATTGCAAACAGATCACAAATCCAGCATCTCTCGTATTTGAGTGAAATCACTGCTACTTCCTGCATCTTCCCATTAAATTAAAAAGGAGCTTGGCCCAGGGCAACTAGCAGAGCTGTTAGGGGTATTCAAGCCGTGCCAAGGAAAAACTAAAAAGGTAGCCTGGCCAGGCTAGAGTATTGACACAAGTTATTGACAGTAGAGTCTCACTGGTGCCCTGCTTGGGCAGCATTTATTTTGTAGGCAGAGCGTGGAAGAATGCTAATACATTTGCCCCCAATCTGTCCCCCTAGTTGCAGTTTGAATAATTTCTTATTAGTTTTTACAGTGATTTTTTTTTTCCAGTAGTTGCTCCTCCAGTTGGAGAAACCATGACGAAGCCGTTGGCCTACAGAAGATGGTGATAGTGTTTTGTTTTTTCCTGAGCTAAGCACCCTTCTCTTTGGGAGTACTGACAGTTTATTACCAGTTGCAGAATTTGGCCTTGTGTTTAAAGATGATCTGCTTGGGGATCTGATGCGATATCTTGGATCAGGCTGCTGCATTAGGAACACATGTTCTAACAGCATGAAGCAAATATAGATACCAACTCCTCTTTCTAGGCATCACTTCTAAAACAAGCTTCAGCTGTGCAGAAAAACATCCTGCCTCCTTTAGAAGAGCCACTATCGTAGGTTTTATTCTTTTTAGTGGCCATGTAATAAACAAGAATATATATAATCATCATGGTAATTTAAAATAATTTTTTAATGCAATTGTTTAAGTATCTTGCCCATTGACTGTCTCCACTTTGCACAACAAGTAGTGATCTGTACCTTGACTGTCTGATCCACATTAACAGGAGCTTTTGTAGCTGAGGGAATGCAAGAGCTTTGCTGTCAGGTGCTTCACATGAAGTTCTTTGCATTACAGGCTAGATGTTGGCTAAGTGCCTAAAGGGTCGTGCTCACTTTCACGTGAATAAAAGTTTGATTTTAGTCCAACTGCAGAAAAGAAAAAAATCCCTTCTAATAAAAGCTTTTTCAGGGTACACTCTGAAAGCAAACCATTCCAGTATGCATGTCAAAGTATCATGCACAAGACATCCAGACCTTCTCATGGCTTCACAAAACAAAGGAACGATGCCCTGTTGCAAGCACCTTATAAAATGAGACCCAATTTTGCAAACCTCTACCCGCTCCAGGAATCCTGTTGCCTTTTGAGGTTCTACCACATGAGCAAATAAGTGAAGTGAAATCACGCTCTAATTTTAGATTTAACGCAATTTACTGAGAAGACTGCAAATGAAACAGGATTACTATTGGGAGTGGGAGCAAATTGATGTTAATACTGTTACTGAAAATTTGACGTAGAAGGCGAACAATCCTTACGCTTGCCCTCTCATCGGGGATTAATAATCACAATCTTGGAGGGATCAAAAGGACTTAACCCTCTGCCTGAAAGCAAGAAGATGTGCTGGCTGCAAATAGGAGAAGCGGGTGGCTCATGCCAACATTTTCCTCCAACCCCCCAACCCAGAAAGAGTTAAACTGCCATGTGCAGCTACTGAATGTGCGTGTGGAAATTGCAAGAGCAAGAGTTAGCCATCTGGTTCATGCTTATACTGCTGGGCATGTAGGGATGGAAAGGGAAACTGAAAACCAGGTTACCTTTGTAAACGGCATATTGCTTGATGCGTTGATTCTTTTTTCAGCTGAGTTTTCTCTCTTCAGTGCCTAGTCATATTTGTCCATCTAAATGAGTAGGCTTGATTGTGTCTTCCCACAAAGGGGAAGGGGGGGGAAAAAAAAAAACTGGCATGTAAGCTCTGGGAGAGCTGTGCAAAGTAATATGCTGCCTAATCTAACAGCTGAAGCAAATTTATTCTGGTTTGCAGCCAAATAAGGACTTAGCCTTTCAGTGGCTAGCTCATGTGTGCTGATGCCCACAGATTTCTCTGAGTGCTAGGGCTCCATAAAGAGCATATAGGCAGAGTCAGCTGCCTTAGACTGAGCTTCAAAAGAAAGGCCCAGATGTTTGAGGCAAGCCTCAAGATGACTGGGGAAGGTCAGGCATTTTACTCGCAACAGGAAACTGAGATTCAATCTACTAGAGTCATAGCATACAGAGTAGAGGAAAAAGCAATTCATGGGGGATGCAGGGTGTGAACCACAAGCATTGCTCCAGCTCTGCAGTGTCTGTGCACATGCGCTTTATCACGCTGAATCGGCAAGTCGCAGTCCCTGCACTGTAAGAGTGCTAGCTTGCCTGCCCGCCCCACGATAATGCTTTAGGTTACCCTGTGCGCCCCATCCCTAAATGCGACTCTTGCGCCATTTTAAAAGCAGCTAAACAACTCTTTTATGTCTAGCTTAAAAATAAACTGTGGCTCAAAGTCATTTACTTATGCCTTTTTTTGTTGTAATTTTATTGGAAAAGCTGGTATTAACATATTTATATTTTTATTCAACAACAGTTAGCTAATTTGTGCAACACAAAGAATGCAGCCATGAACAACAGCTTTCGAAACAATCATCAGGTTTACCAACTTTACCATCACTTACTCTACGCCACTGAAAGCTCAAACTAAAAAGAGAAAGTAAGTTGGAAACGTTCACAATGACGATGTTAACTTTCCATACGTTCAAGAAGACCAGGAAACTGAACTCTAGTAGTGATGTCAAAGACATGAATGGAATACCAGTCTTTGAAAAATTTCTATTTATATTTCGTCTATAATCACTTCATGGTATTTTGGTTGGGTATTTCAATAGTTTTATAAAGCTCCAAAGATATATTTATTTATTAAATTTTAACACGATCTTTTTGGTACCCAAAGCTGAAATAGAGTAAGGTACCTGAAATTAAAACAAAAAAAAATTGTTGTATTAAGATCTGCTTTATAATAAGTTATCTATAGAATCTTACTTGAGAATGTTAAAAGCTAAATATATGTTTTACAGTACTTCTAGCTGTAAATGCCAATATGAGCTGATAGCTTTTTTCTTTTTTTCTTTTTTCTTTTTTTTCCTTTTTTTGAGTTGCAAAAGTTAATGGAAGAGGCCAAAAGTCAAAGAAATTGTATGACACCCTTTAAGCAGTAGTTTGGCATTAACAAGATTTTTATACAATTTACCACATTCTTAAACCTTTTTACAAGGAAAAAAAAAAAAGCAAATTTGTTAAATTTCATTAGAATAAATATGTACATATAATACTGTCCATGCTTTCTAGAGCATACAGTATTTTATAAACAAACATTCCTCATTCCCTTTAAAATTAACCTACACATTTCATACCATATTTGTTTAGTATGGCTGGAAACTGATGCACATGCGTTTGTGCTTCTACACACACAAAATATACAGCATTGATCTAGAAAACTTCAAACATACAGATTTCATGTGTTGTGTTAAGATGTCATATAAAAGAGCTTTAGACTTTATTTTTTTTAGTTCTTGTAAGCAGATTTTTTTCACCCACCCTTTCCCCCAAACCAAAATATAAAAGCATGCAGATCCATTATCAGTACATTCCCCACTTGCCAAATAAATCGGTGCATAATGGCTTAAAGATTATTTCGCTGAGGCGTTTTAATAAGGGCTGATTAACAGGTCATCTGACTTGTGCTCTTTTATTCATCATTTGGGAATAAATACTTTGGGATATTAGTTTTTTTCCTCAGCCATTATCAGGGATGCAGACAGGTTTTTTTTCCTTCTCTTTTTTTGGATATTTCCCCCCCTGGATTAAGAAGTACGTCCTGTCTAGTACACCACACCCATATACCTCCTAAACGAGGTGCACCCATTCCACGTACTTTCATGTTCCTTTTATGTCTCTATTCATTTGAAAAAGGCGAACGAGCTAAATGTATTGATGTGGAAGAGGGTTTGTTTGGTTTGGAGTTTTGGGGGTTTTTTTCCCTTCTCATTTTTCCAGGAATAATTTTGTCATTCAGTCGTTGACCAAGTTACAAACGTCAAATTCACTGAGCAGTGCTGTCTCACAGCACCTCTTTACAGCTAAAGATATCGTGGCATTTTCTATACTCGCCACATGCCAGGAGTCAGAGAACTGGGCTGCAACAAACACAGGAGGGATTTTTCTGAAGTGTCAAGCAATGATTTAACTTTGCTCCCTTTGAGGTCGATACTTGCCTTTAGGGACAGCACCGCAGCGGAGACCACGAGCCCTCCAACACAGCAGCATGGGTATACACACCTAACTCTGCCAGGGCTGTAGGCCAACAGCCCGTCAGCGGTGGAGCAGCCACGCCAAGTTTTCAAATTGTCCTCCATGTGATGAAGATACTAATCAGTGTTTTAACCAGAGCAAAGAGCTATAGGGAGAGCGAACGCCTTAAAATAAACTGACTGAGTAACTGTATCAGTTTGCCACTTACTCACTCAGAAAGTTAAGTACGAAGTTAGCAGACGTTTAAAAAAAAAAAAGCTGTAAAGAAGGGACTGGGACAGGTGAGACGGGGCAGCTTTGCACCAGGACAAATAGCAGTAATTTTGCTTCCAGTCTTACAGCTGTAAAGAGGCCCTTCGAGCGGGGGTCAGGCTGTTAGGGGATGGGGCTAGTCAGTCACTCGCACATAGGTTTGGCTTGATCAAAGACAGGAAAAAACCTTACTTAGAAAAAAAAAAAATCAAGAGGCTGAAGCAAAAAGCTCTAACAATGTGGTAAATGCTGTAGCCTGCAAAACGCGCGGCACCCCCGGGCCCCGCGAGGCCCCGTGAAACGCGAGGCCCTCGGAAGGGCTCAGCCCCCCCAGGACGCCCCGAAACGGGGAGACCCACCCCCACCCCCCCGCGCTTAAGGAGCCGACACAGACCACAGCGCTGCGTTTGCGGTCGTGCCTTTTCCTCGTACAGCTGCAGTGATGGAAAACGGTTGGCTTGCCGCCGATACTAAGACAGGCCGAGGGCTGAAAGGATACAGCCTACAAATGCCACCACAGAAGCCACAATTTTTGTGAAGATCACATCCTTCTACAACTCTCAAGAGGCTGGTTTGTAAATTGGAGGGAGAGTGATAAATCTAGTGCATCTCTGAGTTCACTTTATCCTGAAATATGTACAGATTGTTTGTCGCTGCGATAGCAATGATGTTCTCGGTGGGGTGCCACGCCGTGTGCAAGATCTTCTTAGTAAAGTCCAAACTGTCAACGCTGATGTCGTCTTTCCTCCGTTTGCCTCCGACACAGACTCGCCGGGGTTTCAGAATAGCTCGCGGTTTGCTGCTCTCTCGGGACGCCTCCAAGGTAACATCCCGCTTGGTATTTCGGTCAAACATTCGAAAAAAGTTGTTGTACGCACCCGTCATTATGACACTGCAGACGGAGAGACAAGAAGGGCAGAATTAAATCGCAGGTTGCGTGAAGTCTATTAATGTGACTGGAGCAGGACACTGAGCTTTGGCCTACGATAAGAGGTCTTCTACTTTCAACTGGGAAGACTATAAAACACAGGGTTTTTCCCCAGTACTCTCTAGAGTGCCTACTTCTTTTCCTTACTGTTTTGCCCTCGCCTGTTACAGTATTCAATGAAATTTACCCCAAAACTGGCATCCTGAAGTATTTGCAAAAAAAATTAAAAAATAAATATCACAAGTCAGGACCCTGACATCATGACACTGACTTACAACAGACTAAATGCAACACGTTTAATAAGTTCCTTTGAATTACCCTCCATGTCGTTATTGTCTTTTAAGGCCGTGTTTTCAGGCTCTTCTCCTTTCCCCAGAGCCTTCCCCTGCTCGGCGGCTGGCAGGGCCGCCCGCACCGGGGCCCGGCGGCCCTCACCCTCCTCCCGGCACAGGCCTGCCCCCCTCCTGCTCTTACGCCACCAGGTAACAATGCTTTGTTTGTTTAAAAAAAAAAGAAAGGAAGGCCAGTAAAGCAGCTTGATAAAACGTATGGCGGCGGCAGCAGCAGGAAAGCCTATCGATCAAGGTTACTGCCCATTTCCGAAGCTGAATCAACAACAGTAAATCCATTGTCTCCTTCCTTCCAAACCACCACGTCGTGTCATTAGGACTCCTCCTGTAATGGTTAGTCACAACATGAAAAAGTGGAGGTTATTTCATATCTCGGCGCTAACACGCGCAATTTGGGATTGTAGCGGTCCTGCACAGTACTGGGCAAAATTTCCAAACAAACAGTTTCGTAATGACGGGCGCCACGCAGCACGGGCTGCCGAGCGCTGCGGGGACACGGCTCCCTCCGGATGACTCCAGGAACAGCCAGGGAGCAGTTTCCAGGCAGGCAATGTACCAGCTAAACAGATAAAGTGTCAAAAATCCTTTTTATGAGGCTTTGCTTGCTCTGCTTTGCAGCAAAGCTGCCTTCGCAGTCCTTTTGCTTTTTAATTTCTTGAACCCTTACATGTTTTTAAAACTCTATTTTCTTTGGTTGGGGTTTTTTTTTGCAGGGTTTTTTTCTTTCTTTTTTTTTTAACATATGTAACGACTACTTTTCACACTGTCCCTGTTTTTCTGCAGTTTAATGGCTCAGTAAAAAAAAAACAGCATTATGTAAATGAGAAAATGCCCATTCTTGTTCAAGGTCACAAACACAGAGGGATTATAACCTTACCTGCTGCTTAAAATAATGAAAGAGAGAACTAAATTTAAGCCTGCTATTTATTCCTGTTCAGGAAAATATAATACACAACGATGCATGTATGAGGTAAGGAGGTTTCTTTCTTTTATATATATAAAAGAAAAAAATTGTATCTGAATATAGAAAGTGTCTGCTCAGTATTTCTATACTGTTTGCCATGCACTGCACTGCTACAAGCGCCTGCGCAGCATCCTTGCAATCAAGGCTGCCTCAAGAAGCATTCCCCCCCCCCCCGCCAAAGCCTCCTTGCCAAAATTAGGTCACTATGGATCAAACGCTTATCCATTGGTTTTTCTTTATGAGAAGGACAAACTCATCTTGCTGAAGGAGTAAGAAACTCATTCTCTCCTTCGAAGGAGGAAAAAATTCAATGTAGCCCACTCCTACTTTTATTATATTGATTTTTCTTCTTACTCCTGCCCTAGCTGCTGTTCTGCTCTCTCTTTCTATTCCTTCCCAGCCAATCTTGTGTTTTTGTCTTTACCACACTTTCTAGTCAGCTTCCTCCCCCCCACCTCCTCTTTCCTACTGCTTTCCCTTTCCATCTAAGCTGCTCTGTTAGTTTTAAAAATACTGTTTTTGCTTCTCTCTTCCCTCTTCTGCTATCAAGTAGTGTCCCTAGCTTTGATCTCTTCTGCTGTGCTTTGTCTTTTCTATTCTTCTGTTCGTTTTTTCTCTTCCTCTTACCCTTCATTTTTCTCGAGGTCTTACCTCTGGCCCTTCTTGCCATCTCCCCCAGTCACCACTCCTGCTTACTCTCACGGACAACTTGCTCAGCCCTCAAGGACTTCAGGCATCTCCCCTTGCTTTCTCCTTTGGGCTGAAGGCTGGATAAATGTTGCTGAACAAATGAGCTGATGGGTAGATGTCCTCTTGCATCACGAACAGATGACTGGTTCCTGTGCTCTTGAATCTGGCACAAATTCGGTAATGTCCAGCTGCTGAGAGATCTGCATGGCTTGGCCACTCACGTAAAGCCTACCAGCTTACCACAGGGTGCAGGGAGGGAAATGCACTGCTAGTTGTCTATTTTGAAGGAACTTTTATTCTCGCCAAGGACTTTATAGGGGGTTTTGCATGCAACCATGTGTGTAATCTGCTTCTGAGATAGGCCATCATGACAGAGCTCAATGACCTTTCTGCAAATTCCCAGGAACTAGAGCCCGTTGCAGCAGGAGAGGTTGTTTCCAAATCAGCAGAACATTAACTGCTCCTTCTGTACAGGACCTGCATTCAGGGCTCTATGCCCTACGCCTTGCTCGTTTGGTAGCCAGCAGTATTTCAGGTAAACTAAATTTTTTTTCACCGATTTCCAATCTGTAAAATTCTCTGGAGCAAAAGATTTGAGAAGTTCTTCCTATTTATGTTGTAGAATTAACACTCAAAAGTAAAACAGCCCATGTTTGCCTATGAATAACAATTTTGTATTGCAGGGCACCAGTAGCTGCACCATTAATGTTTAATTTAAGGCCAGCATTTTAAATCCGTGTAGAATGGATAAAAGGAGATGGCTACACATCTCCTGGGGTCTGCAAAAGCACCCTATCAACTACTGATGCCTTCAGCATCTTTAAGCTTCTTAATACCTTAAAACATATGGCTCTCAATGTTTTGGTTTTGGCCATGACTCTCTCTGTTAAATGCAATGCCTGGGCAGTATCTGAGCAATGACATGCTCAATATGTGCCTTTCTTCTCTCCAAAGTTCTGCTTCTGTAGGAAGGTCAATAAATTTCCTATTTCACCAACCTCAGGGCCATCTGACTAGGACTTTATCATTTGTACAGAACTGCAGTGAGATTTTTCTTCCACCATAGTATTTAGGCACTGAGATTTCATCAAGCCTGTCAGTCAGTAAGAACTGGTATCAATCTGTCTTTCTCATGTGTCTGCTATTCTCACATTTTGTTCAGATTTCTTTATTGCAAGAGAAGCGCTTAAATCTGTCGTCCCCGTTGCAGCTACCCCTGCATGTGAACAGTTCGTAACTGAATTGCTCGAGTCAGCTGTCAGGGTTTGCCTTGAAGCTATTGGGATATCAGCTGCAATTAAGGCCTGCTTCGGCTGCAATTAAGGCCTGCTTAAAAAACAAACTATACTTGCTCTGCATTGACTTTTTTTGTGTAAGAATGACTTCTAAAATCAGTTTTGGAGTAACTGTGGCCCAGATCGTTCCTCCTAGTTGCACAGAGATTTTTCTTCGGCTGCAGATTTCTCTTGTCCAGCAAATCCAGCTCATGTCACAGTTTCCCATCACAGCTGCTGAGGAGCCCACAAGGCCCCAGGAGGGATGGTGGGGCAAAGGCTGGGCAGGCTTCAAGAACCAGCACATTCCAGGCTTAGGGACGACAGAAAAACTAAACCAGCCCTGCTAACCCGCCCCCCTCACTACAAACGTGGCAGTGGATCTGAATTTCCTGAAGCAACGGAGAAGTGACACTGAAGCCAAGCAAGTGGGAGGGGAAGAGATCTTCCATCAGCACTCGCCTCCAGATTTTAGCATGAGGCACTGCAAATGCATCCCTTGTAGGCACCCAGCATAAAAAGGGACCATTTCTTTGACCTGAAACTGTTTCCCCAATCATATGCTGACTCCCTAAATTTGCAAGATTTCAATACCATGCGTACCAGTGCAGATCAACACATTTGCAGTCTGCTGGGACCAACACACAAGGCCCAAAAAAGCAGGCTGACCTTATGAGAAGCAAGGATTGGTTCTAGGAAAATACTTCAAAATCCTTTTTCATGGGAATGAAAAATGACATTTATTAGGACATAGGGGAAAGAGGAAGTACTGTTGCAAGCAAGTTTCCTTTCACTGTTACACTGCTAGATTCATTAATGGGGTGGGCCAGGTGGCCTACTGGGGAATTTTACTTTATTCTGCACCACGTGAAGCAAATGACTCCCCATCATAAAGGCCATACTTGAAAACTCGTGGAGAGTGTGCTGACACTTGACTGTGCCACTCAGGTAGAGGTGGCTAAGATAGGACTGAAAAGGAGAACAGGGGCATCCCCAAGTCTTTCCAAGCTAATATTTGACATGCTGAGCCTTGATAACAAAATATGTCTTCTAGCTCTCCAATACAGAGCACGCTGCCAGACAGGAATAGACTGTTCACATTTTGTTCACTGGGACCTGCCAATTCCACCCGATTAGACTGAAGGGCTGACTGATGCTCACTGAGGTGAATGACAGTTCAGTAGGAAAGGACTGACTGAGCAGTTGTATGTGACTTCACTCATCTCCTTACAGCCTATCACTTACAATGACGGTATTCAAAAGGCTCCCTAGAAGGGTTTCCCTATTCAGTCAGTTTCTTTATAAAAAAGAATAGTAATTAAGAATTTTCACTACCATGTAGAATATATTACATATTTTTCTTTTGCTGGTGTCTCCTGTAACTCACAGACAAACAGCTCCAGAAGTGTTAATTTTTGTGATAAAGCGGAAATAACAAAATGGACATGGTTGACAGTGGGAAGAAGAAAGTATCCTGCAGATCATTACTAAAAGATTTCACTGTAGAGCTGAATGAACGAATTAAATGAAATTAGTGTCTATCTACATAGCCACATAAGCATGGTGCATATATAATATACATGGCATGATTTTAGTGTAATATATTCAACTACAGATAAAACACGCTCATCTGGTTGGCTTACTTTAAGACCTCTGCTTGACTCCCTCCCCTGACCACTCTTTTTGCCCAAGTACTGAATGATTAATGTGTCCTTCAGCAAATGAGATCGGGTCTGTCTGATTGTATTAGTTCCTCTTCATTGGAGTAACTGAGCATCAATCACGTTCTAATCAGAGCTCATGTACATTGATTTTTTTTTTTTTTGTAAACAGCCTCACCATCAGGGTCTATAATTATCCTGGACTAACTCCTTAATAATGAGAAAAATTGATTAAAAAATATTTTCACCTAAAAAATAAACATGCTTTTATTTTTAACTGAACAATCCTGTCATTTTAACTTGTCATTGTAGTTTTAAAGTCTGCAAAGGATAAAAACAAAAAGTTTAGAATGGCGATTATTACTATTATGCGTTAATACTATATATATTATATTAATCTCTTAAGAGTACCACTGCTAGTAAGCATTGCTTACCTTTTACAGTAGTCCTTTTAAAAAAAATTACATAACATAAAGAACCAAATTAAGTGGCCTTAATATTCAAATGCACTGTTCTTTAAGAGTTATAGGTACCCCAGTATAACTTACATTATGATCCACCAAAAAAATCATTGTAGTGCATAGCAAAACAATAAAATACTTGTCACATACAGAAGCAAGACGCTCAGAAGAGTGAATATGTATTTCCTCTCCTCAAAAGATGAACAACCGTGCCTATACCTTTAACTCATAAAAAGAAACAACTAAATTAAAGCTGACTGTTATCTTTTGTCAAATGCTGCCAGCTACTCTACTCAGTAGTTTCTTAAAATCGAGAGCAGTGTCTTGTGTTTAGTGACAGAATTGGTAATTGTGTAAGCCGAACAACCCTTCAATGCTGAGGCAGTACAATAAATTAAGCCCTTACAATGGTATGCTCCCACTGAATGATTACTCACTATGTTGATCTTTCTGATCTGTCAAGGAGGAACTAAAATATTACACTCACTCAATATCACCCTGATACTGAATAACACTATTCCAATACTATTCAGATAGTGGTCTCACTTCACTAATGAGGATGGTAGCACTTCATTCGAATTAGCACTCATTAACGATGGGAGAAAGAATCTGGGCAGGCAAACACATGGCTGCCCATTCTGTACAATGCCCTGGGAATTCCCACTAAGGACGAGCAAAAATGGTTTGAAATGACCTGAAATCCCCTGAAGCTTTGTGGAAGTTTCAAAATATCTGATTAATTTCTCTTTGCTTGTGGGATCCTTCAGTGCTGGAGTTGGGCAGGGATCAGCACCACCCATATTTCCAAGAGAAGCTTTTATTTTGGTGTTCCCAATAGGACTAAAATGAAGCAGTGCTCAGAGTCTCCTGAGACAACCCTCTGCTAAAACATCTCTTCATATACGGGATTGGAAAGTTCAGAGAAACAGCCCAAAACCTAGATAACCCTCTAAAACGTCTCTGGGTCATTCCCACTTTCTGACCATATTGAAGCCAATGTCGTGATGGCTCACCTGCTCACTCCTACGTTGTAGTCCTGACAGTCTGGGAAGGATTTTGCCCAGTGTGGTCCACCTTTGTCATTTTACATGGCCAGAGTTTGTATCACAGACTATACTCAATGCCGAGTTAATCCTTGTCAGCAAACGCATTACCCTGGCATGCAGTAGTAGCTTACGAAAATGGCTTTCGAATCTCAATTGTCTGAATCATTTAAATATGAAGACTGCATGAATCACTTCCACATGAACAGGATGGCTCTCTTGCTTCTAGTTTTTATTATTCTTTAAGGAAGTCCATAAACTGGACTTCTCAGTAACTTTGTGGAAGAGCTGAAGCACAGCTGTTACAGATCAGAGATCAGGGAAGGATATAACTTCTTTTGAATAATATTAAAGGGAAAAATTTTATTTCTTAGTAAAGAGAGAAGCTCTCCACTGGAAAGGTAACGCTTTACACTTTATCTGTATTTGTGGAATACCGGACTGGAAGAGACCCTGTTCTGCACTATTGAGTTCAGTCGCTTGGCATTTTAAGCAATGGCTCATATAACGTCTTTCACAAATTTTCTGAGCACCGTCCTCAAAACAGTTGGGCTTTTTACATCTCCACTATTTGGGGCTGGAAGACTGCTCCACACTGTCGCTGTTCTAACAGGTACAAACTGCCTCTCATTCCTAGTCAAGTTCTAATTTCCAACCAAGCTGTCACTTGGTACCTTTGTATTTGTATATTTGTGCCATTATCACCAGCATTTAGCTTAGCTAGATCCTCTCCCTGCCTACGTACACCTCCTTGATGTACTTATTAGAAGCAAGTATAGCTGTGGCTGCTCTTCTGCTAGGCTGATCAAAATAAACGCTTCCATTCTCCTCCCTTTAGAGCAGCTGTCCAGTTGCCCAATTAGTTCATTCGCCTTCAGTGCACCTGCGTGTTTCATCTGCCTTGAAGATGAGACCAGAAATGTGTAACAGTAGTCCAGAGGTCTTTCAATAGGGCCATAACATAATGTCACCACTACTCCTCTCTCTCTGCTGGACATCCCAGTCTTGCCCATTCAAGGATCATATTTGCCCTTTTCATAGCTGCAGCGCAGTGCATTTCGTAGTCCTTCCCCAGTCCGCAGGGTCAGGCCTGCCTCAAGTGCAACGAGCCGGTCTGTTTTTCTCTTTCCCGAATGAGAAGCTAAGTGAGCTGAAGGCACAGTTCCAGGATCCCAGTGAGCGCCAAACTGATCGGCAGCATTTGTCTGTTGGCTCCCAGCTCCTGCTGAGCCAGGAATCACTGTGCGCCATTCAAAACTGGCTCCGGCGCTCTCTTTCGCATTCATTCTGTAGATTGCTAATCCCCTCCACAGTCCCCTAGCATATGAATGTCCTGGTGGGTTGTTTCCAACTGATGAGATTAAGGTTTTCTTTTTTTTTTTTTTCCTTAAATTAAAATCCACACCTTGCTTTATATTCCTGAATTTCATCCCATTTTTAATATTCCAGTCCTCCAGGCTGCTCAGTTCTGTCTGCACAATAGTCCTACTCCCCTAAGTACTGACACAATTTGCTAATATTACAGCATAAACAAATCTCATCCCCTCTCTCGGACTTGTGTCAACACCCCTTCTGAAATATATCCAACAAGAATGTGTCCAAAAAAATCCCCAGGGACCTGTCCTTGAGTGCACAGGGAAAGGGACAGCTCTGAGAGGGGTAGGCATCAGAAGAAACTGCCACTTATGTCAGTGGGAATTCTGCCTAAGGAAAGAGGAGGAGGTATTTAATATAACTGTGTTTTTATGCAGCATACACTGGCATTAATTACACTAATTTGGTAAAGTGCTAGTTAGCTGCCATAATACAGAAAAGAGTTACAGTACTATAAGCCACCACCATCCTGGTTTGCTCTGCAGCTACGAAGTTGGAGTCTAAGGAATTACATGCCTGGCAGTGTAAGAGGTGTACCCAAAAATGTCCAACTTCTAGGGAAGCATTTAACCTAAACGAGAAAAATGTCTTATAAAAGGCAGCAGCAGTTTGTAGAGAATCAGTGGGTCCCTATGACTCCCTTCCCTTTTCCCTTTCTCTCCCAGTTTCCAGTAACTGAACTGGATTTATGAGGAAGTTAACCAGTAAATATGGCATCAGACAAGCTTCCTCATTGTGTTAGCGGGGTTGTGCAAGCTAGCAGCATTCTTCTAAATGCTTGCAACCTGCTTTTGGTTCTGGTGAAAACGGACAGTGTTTGAAGGGTTTTTTTCTAAGGTGTGAGCCAAGACTAACAAGGCATCATAAGTCATGTCTGTCTGAGGAGGTCAGAGACACAACAACATCACTATCCGAGCAGCTTTTGACAGTCTGAACACTGATATGTAGAGATGTAACTTGATATTTGAAAATAACCACGCGTAACACACTACTTTTTGATTGTTCCCCATCGTATGGGAGCTCTTCAGCTAAATCGAAACAACGATGGACATAGGGCTGGATTACCTGTCTGATCCATTCCACGCACATTCAAACTTGTCAAAGATGCAGTCATTCTCATAGAGGGAACACAGCTTGCTCCTAAGGTAATCATGGACCTGTTTTAAAGCAAATAACTGCTGTTATTTTTGAAACAAAACAAAATAAAACTCCACAGCCACTCCCCGACTCTCTGCATTATCTCCCACACTCACTTTTACAACATGCTGCACAGGTTGGCAGCTTTGCAGAAGATAGCATGTTTAGTCATTAAAGGAGCTAAGCATACTTTCCCATAGGCCAGTTAGCCAGGGCGCGATACAGTCACTGCGGCCGGAAGACATGGAGCACGCCTCACTCAGCAGGCTGCAGACCGCTCCTCTTTACTTGTTTCCTGCTCAGGTGACTGTCTCAGTGCTTGCCTGATTCCCAAGACGTTGCTAATTAATGTGTGAGTAATGTAATTTAAATAGTAAAACAAAACACAAAAACAAAAAACCAAACAAACAGCACATTCCAAGGTAAGTGGACTCACTTGCCGTGACAGCAAAAGAACCCTGCTCTTAAGAGAGCCGGTACTGTATGGTATTACATACATTTGGATAAGGCTTTTCAGAAACCAAATACAGTACAAGCTTGCAGTTGCACAGGCTGCAAATGAGAACACTAACATGGCCCATGGTTACATCCTATTTGCCTGAGACTTGAAAACAACATTACTAATTCTCACTTACAAGCTTGAAAAGTGAGATTAACCAGCAGATCTCTCTTCCAGGCTACATACCTCTACTGAACGAGGGTTATCATAAACAGACAAATCTCATGTAAACTGTTTCAGTCCTTTGCTGAATATGATTAGCTTTTCTTCTGGATGATTGGTTTCATTTCCTAAGGAAAGCAGGAGCTACAAAATCCTTCCTACACGAATTTACTAATGCACTTTCATTCCTGATGTTTCCTTCCAGCTGTTGTGGAAGCCTCGATCTCTGGCTGGAGCCTGTGAAGCAGCAGCTCCTCTGGAGAACAAAGTTGCATGCATGACCCTGAGAGCATACAGACCCATCCCATAGCCTAGCAGCCTAATTCAGCTCTGGCGCAATGAGGCACTGGTTCTTTCAAGCCCAGGGAGACCGTTGCTGTTTACAGCCACCCGAATTTGAGTCTCCTGACTGCTGTCCTTTCAGCACATGCTCAGCCTCCTCCTCTGGCCTGAGCGCTTGAACACTCCTTGTAGCAGAGTCACTTTTATCAAGACCAGAATAATGACAATGACCTTTCACTCAAATTTTATTTAAATTAACACTATTTTCAGTAGCTACATTGTATAGCGTACCAAGAAAAGTCATGGGTCAATTTTCAGAAACAGATGAATGAACCCTGAGCTATCAGTAGATAATGTCCGTCAGCTGAACACAATACTCATACAGCAAATAACAGGCTAATTGTAGACGCAGATAAAGCATTTCACAATTAAATGCATTTACCCTCCTGGTGAGTAATAGGTCAGAACACTTCCAGAACCGATGCAGTTTCTTGCACACTCAGTAATGAAATGCTTTCATTTTCTCTTGTTCTCTTTACTTAAAGCCTCTATATTTTCTGCTGTTTTTTACACATCATTCTTCCATAGCATGATTTTACCATGTGCCCACTGTTTACTATTTTTTCTGTTAGCAGTATAATTCATTACGGACCTGAAGTTCTTTTCATTATCAGGTTTGTGAACTCTCAACCCTTGGAAGAAATAGAAGGGTTGGGTAAAGCAGGAGAAGGAAGCACCGATAACATTTGCCTCACCGGCTGCTGCTTTGACACTGTCTCTTCTAGGTCTCCCTCTTCTTGTTACCATTTGCAGCAGCCATCTTTGACCACTGTCACGTATGCACCCTTTGAGGAGTGTGCCCAGCTCCTCAGCTTTGAGCTGTGCCTATCAGCCCCTGTCAGATAGGAAACTGTGGTTCCTTTCTGTTTCCTTACCTATTTCTTCAAAGCCTCCACTCCTTTTTCCTGACTCACTCTGTCTGCTGACTTTCACTATTGCCATGGACAACGAGAGTGCTCTTCATCTTGACCATTCAATTACTACGCTTAACCACATTCAGACCCTCAGTGTGACTATGAAAAACTAAACGGAAGAAACAATTTTTACCCTGTTTTTATGTTCATCTGCCACTATAGATCGAGGGTAAAAACAGATGTGCCTTGTCTGTATATATTGTTCTTATCGCACAAAAACAACATCCCAATTCCAATCAAATTCCTTCCTAGGTAATCATTGCACTCTGTTAGGTCAGTCCTTCATGGAATTATCCAGTCATTTTGTGCTCCAGAATAACACAGTGATAAGACTATGTGGGGAGCCATTTAGAGTCAGGAATTGTGCTGATAAATGACACATCAGTCCAAATCCCTATACTATACGCCTTGCCAAAGTGGATGAAGCTATTTTCAGCTATGAACTTGTTCACCTCCAGTTGCTGCTGGCAGGTTCTGCTGGGGTAATTCATCTGGGCAGAGCAGAAGTGTGTCTCACGCTAGGCAGGGATGTCTTGGCACCTGCAAACTCAAGCTCTGGTCATTCCGTTTTGTTGCTCTTTCGGTGCTGTCCAGTACAACATGCTCTGCCTTTTTTTAATTTTATGTGAGGCATGAACAGGAGAAAATCATGCTGAATCATTACCAGCAGCTAACATGTTTCAGCAAGGCTGTAAAAGCTGCCGCATGCAATACCATTCTTCTGGCCACAACACTGATAAGAAAAAGAACTTGCATGAGGAATACAATTTTTTATGACACTAAAACTGTACCCTGATAATGAAGCTGTGCACTTAGAGACTCTGCTCTTTCTTACAACCCTATGGGGAAATCTCCTATTATGACCTCCCTCACGAATTTCAGTTAGACAGTATCTATGTGGTTTCCATGCAATGCGTGAAATGAGAAATTCAGTTACTTTAATGTTTTTATGTTTCATATCTATGTTTTGGTCATTGAGGGGTTTGCTGTTTTTACTATAACTGTTTGAATTTGGATAGCAATAATGAGTGGCTCTAAATAACCACGAGTCTTATTTATTTATTTAACAGTTTTGTGTGAGCTAATACATAGCTAATTTATATACCCCATCCTAATTATGTGGCTACATAACTCCGAAAATCTTGGATTTATTTGTTGCCTTCTGGTGCTTCTGCAGATACTTTTAAGAGAACTTTTTAAAAGAGTAATTGAAACCACTCTTTCTTTCTTAAAAAATACAATTCTCTACTCTTTGCAGTTGAAAAAGACCTGAGGTTGTCCAGAGCAGTTGCACTGTGTGAATCTTAAGCAGTCCTCCTCTGATACTGCCCTACTAAGGCCTCTGACTGACTTCTAGATTCTCCTTTTGTCAACTGCTTGTCAGTACATCTGTCAATGCTCTTTACAAGGCACTGCAGAAGTATTTGAAAAAGAAAGACAATCCACAGGTTACAACAAAAAAGCAAGAACACTTAAATTTGCAGGGGTCTGTTATTATTTTCTATAAGCATCTGAATGCAATAATCAATATTGAAAAATTATATCTATTTTCCACATCTCAGTGTGGAGTAATATAACTTTTTAATTGGCCCCACTGCTGGCTGTCAGACTGATTTAAAGCTTTGTTTCAAAGCTACCTACGCGAGGAAATAAAAGCATATGTTAAAATCAAGACAAACAGGTTGGCTTGACCAGCTATGTCTCTCCAGAGAGAAAGTTGCTTACTCCGTTAGCATAAGTATAAAATAATACATTACCTGAGTTCCTCAAATCCAAGATATGATTCTAGTATGTTAAACACAATCTCTCAATTTCCCCCTCTATTTTTAGAGCATCCTATTTTTAGAGCACATCAGAATTTCCAACACATTTAACATTACAAGTGCTATCATTTTCAAAACAGAAACAACTCTGTATTTTCGAAGGCATACAGGCTCAGACTTTCAAATGCTAATAGGAGATACATGACAGAGTATCCACTAAAAGGTAACGGATGACGTGCTCGGGCCCACTATGTCGCCACAGTTACTGATGTCGAATTTTGCTTGTTTTGACAAATCACACTACCAAACTCTCAGTATATGCTATTTTAAAAAAGAATCTTAAACACTGTTACTGTGAATTACTGTACCTCACCTGCCCTTACACAGACAGCAGGGAACAGAAAACAAGGATTATTCCAACACTTCTGTAGGACTGTCTCCATGTAAACAGTACAAGTCAGATGAATGATATTTTTCCTATTTTACATGTAGCTGAACAGCTTTTTCTCATTGCATTTTCATAACAAGCATTTTTTACGTCACAGACATATTTTTAGTCTTCAAGGCAGAGTCAAAAAAACATAAGCTCAAACCTCTACTGCCAAACAGAGCAGATGTCAAGAGTACCAATTCAGCGCTGGCAGGAGCCACTGGCATTTTGTCTGCATAATATCCCAGTGAATTCAGGCAACCAGATGTGTCTGTCTGGCATTCACAGACTGCTGTGTCAGCAGTGATGTTAGCATTTAACAATAATCTCTTCTAAAACCAGCCCAAAGGAGAAACGTATGGATGAAGTTTTTAAAAAGGTTCCCAAATGACAATGGCACAAACTCAGCAGTTACAAAGGGAGCAGAATGAGAGGCAATTCACAACATCCTCTCCTCAGTTTCTTTTACATATTAATTATGAAATGTATCATTTGAAAAGTGATGCCAAACTAAAGAGCTGATTTCCTGGATTAGAAGCATTGTTTCTTTCAAGAGCCAGGTCCACCGAGGATGTTACCCTGACTCCCAACGAGCTATGCTTCCTCACTGATGCTGAAAGCGCCCTTTTGCACTCTGCTCAGCTTCACCGTTTTCTCTTAACTGTCATCTCCTCAGACCAAGCAACGAGAACTGTAGAGAAACGTTTAGTTTTTGAATAGTGAGGTTTTTTTATACTGCTGCCCTTCAAGAGGTGAGAGATACCTACCTGGTACGTTTCTACAGGCTTTGTTTCCATGTTCAGATCCCAAACTTTGACAGTGAGGTAATCTCTTGTTAGCATATATCTACCACTGTGACTGAATTTGACATCTGACACTGAAGAGATAATTTCTGAAAAAAATGATCTGTTACTGGGGTCTTCTGGTTCTTCATAAACTGTTTAAAGAAAAAGAAGCAAGAAAGAAATTAGAATTCTATAAAAGAAATGTTTTATTATACAATCTGTATTGTATATTTCTTATGAAACAACGTGATTCAAGGTACCAATCCATCTGTTACAGAATTAATTATATGCCCAGTACTGAATTTATTCTGTTGTCTTTATATAAAAATATAAGCTGCAAGCTTTAAATTTTAGAACATGGGCCATCGGACAGTCTTGAAGAAAGCACACCTGAAGACTCTGCCTTGATTCAAAGGATGTCAGCTTACAATTGAGTTGTCAGAATGGCTAGTGCACGTGTGAGATGCCTTTCATCCGGATTGACGCCAAACAATTTACAGCACTACAGCAAAGAGCTGCTTCATCTAACATTGAAATATTGCTACTTTTGGACTTGAAGACTGAAATCTTTAAACTCCTGGGTGGCAGCCTAACACACAAAAAGAATTATATATGCAGAACAACATAAGGAAAAGAAATTAATGCAGTCTTTTTTTTAAAACTGCTGGGATGATGTATGTCTTAAACAGAATTTAGCCAAGATTTTTCTTTAAGCATCATTTTATGCATTATCCTAAATACTGTGCCCACTGGCATTTTGGTTGGAAACACCCTGACGTGAGAGTGACATGTGGACTTGGACCACTCAGTCAATCCACCTTCACTATGTCTTGAAGTTATTTATTTTTAGAGGCTGCAGTCCTGCTGATTAGAGAAGGTGTATTTAATATTACCACACTTTATTTTCCCTAAAGCACAATAACTTTTTCTATCCCCAGTTAAAATTTACGTTACTACATAATAAAAGCTAAATAAAGCTGGAATTTTTGAGGGGAGTGTGTTATCCGTATTAGGCATCCAACACAACATAGAGGAAGAAGAAATCTTTTGATGTGTAGCTTCTGATGGACTTAGGATGATGAAAAACACTCCAAGGAAGGTCGACAGCTCACCTGGAGTATACCTACCTGGAGTATAATCTCAGCTGTACTTAATCTTACAGGTATGGGCCCAAAGCATCATTTGGAGAAGTTACATAACTATGTCAGTTAGATGACCACAGCTACACTACAACAAAGCAGTTCATCTATGGCCATCTTTCCTGTGGTCCCCACATCCTCTCTCCTGTCACATAACCCAAATTTGAGTGTCTCTGTCACATGAAAAGTGGATATGTAATCTCACAATGGCCTTGGCATCCCTGGGAAGGATGGCTCCTCAAAGGTTTGCTTGGCTGCCAGCATCTGCTGGCCAGTCTGCAGGCTTCCGGCCATGTCTGAAGGCATCTGAGATTGAACAATGTGAATTTTGGGGAGCAGCTGCAAATTGCAATTACCTCTTTCCTAAAATATGAGCAGAGGACAGTGATTTACCAGTTGGAAACATGAACTATTTAGTCTATGGGCAATCGCTGACATTTCTAGGAAGCAGTGAACTCACTATATGCACTGCTTAACTTTTCTGTGTAGTTACTGCACATCCTGGCAAAGCAAAGGATCACGAAATATGGCTTGGAGTACCTCCATACGGTGGTATCTAGCTCTTGTAGCTAGCAGATTGGTCCTCACATTCAACTGCATATAATAACAATATCTGATGGTTCACATTTAATTGGAGGAATTACAGAATGGTTGTGGTTAGAAGAGACCTCGGGAGATCATCTAGTCCAACCCCCTTGCTCAAGCCAGATCACCCAGAGCACGTTGCACAGGATTGTGTCCAGATGGCTTTTGAGTATCTCCAGGGAAGGAGACTCCACAGCCTCTCCGGGCAACCTGCTCCAGTGCTCAGTCACCCTCACAGGAAAGAAGTTTTTCCTCATGTTCAGACAGAAATGCCTAGTAATAGCGGGCCCCACATCATCTGCTGCAAGTCTACTACTAAGCAAGAGCTCTTCATCCCGCCCTCAGTAGCTTGCACTAACTCTAGCCCTGCCAAAGTCAAAGCATGAGGAGACCGTGGGAAAGGGTCGTGCTGGTTGACCTGAGCTAAGCCATCAAATCACTATCTCTTACTAGGAGCCTAGAGCAATTCTGTTCCCTTTCTGCTGGCCTCTACACCTCAGCTCTGTAATCTGAATTACCTCATATGGCAAGTTTAGCAGAAATTCGGGCTTTCCACTGATAACTGAAGCACTCAAAATAAGTAGGAGTCTGCCCACCTATGTCTGGAATATTCTTTGGAAATTGGGAATGTGGTGGCCGTCATTTCCAAGTTGCAAAAGTGGGTAAAGAGAAGCTATTTGCTGAGATATGAAAAGGTTCAGAAAGTAGAACAACTTCCTGCTGTCAGTCAAAACAGACTTTTTGAGGTAGTCCACTGGAATATTTTTCTCTGAAGTCCTTTATCTATGACTGTGATTCAGACTGTTGAAAGCAACAAGGTTCGAGTTTCCATCAGGTGAAATAATGTTCTGCTGAAAGTTCAGGGTGAGTATGTGGGCGAAGCATGAGGGGTAACGCAAAAAATTATGGGCAATTTTCTTTGGGCGTGGGCAGTGAAATGCAACCAGGCATGCACATGGGAATAAGCTCTATATTTGAACATGTACAACACATCTAAACGGTAATGAACTACTTCAAAAAGGGGGAAAAAAACTTTTCTTTTCAGACAGACTGTAAATGAACAACTTTAAATAGCTCTTTAAAAATTTGCCTAGACATTCTGCAAAGCAGATATTTTGTAATTATCCTGTCAAATTTTCAATAGAAGTCTGATAAGCACAAAGCAATTATCGTTTCTCATACCTCTTCCCTTTAATCTGTCCAAACTATGCACTTCGTTGTCAGGAATTTCATCCTCCTAATTATGATGTGAAGTTGCTATTTAAACCAGGAACAAAACAGAAAACCCACCATACTACCCCTCCATTTACAGCTGAGATAAATTTTCTCAGTTACTCCATCTACAAGGCTCTGTAAGTCTAATCAAACCCCCAATGATTATAAGAGGAGCAATATTAGTACTTTGATGCTCTACGTTTTGTTAAGATGACCATTAATGAGATTAAACCATTCCATCCCTTATCTGCACTATTTAATGCTTTCCTGTGCTTGCCACAGTGAGTACTGGAAAATCCTACATTAATTAAACTGCAGAAAGAAAGGTAGCGGCAGCAAATTTAGTAGCAGCAATTCTTTGCAGATAGCTCACCATAGCCAAACCAGGAAAACTGTCAGAGGAAACCAAGCAGTGAGTCTCAGCATTACAGGGAAAGCTCAGCAACTAGCAGCCTATGCCTGAACAGTTAAAACAAGGCATTGGCCTAAGGAAATGAAGGTGAGATATACCACCCCAGGCTCTTAGCTATCTCTGGTTTCAGTGTTAGTATAAGGGTATGTGTACGCTGGAAAAGAAAGGTATAGTCTTAGTTCAGTTTCGCTAGTGGAAGTTAGGTAACTGGAGACAGAATGGTACTGAAGGTGTTATAACTTTGATTTTCGTTCAGGCAAGCAATACCAATTCAACCCTGGCCTTTTCAAGCTGATAGGAGACTACATGGTATTAGCTCACCGTTCGCTTTATTTTCACATATATTTTGAAGTTAGCTAGCAAAATCAGATTTGCCAACATGCACTGAAAACACAACCTCTGTCCATTAAAGTTTAGACTTACCCTTTGAAGGCTGCTCTTATGCCACAGGGGCAATCAGCACCAAGGACATAAGAGGCTTCAAATTTACCTTACTTTTCTATATCTAAACAGATCTTGTTAGACCAGAAGCTGGAAACAGAACTTCGCTGAAATTCAATTAGAAAGTCTATCAGATTACTCTATTAATTTCTTGATTAATTACTTAATAACTAAGTTTTGTAATGAAAAAGGGTATTTAACTTTCATTAATATTGCTCTTGAAAGCCTTTTCGGTGCTAATTATATAAAAGATATAAAACTACCTATCTAGTTGCAAGCTAATGAACATAGCAACCACAAACGCTGTGGTGTATCGAGCTTTCTCGTGACACTTAAATATGGCCTTGACAACAGGAAAACAGAAATGTCCTAGGATTACGGAGTGACGCCGAGCACATCTCCAAGCACAGCCAAAGCTGCAGCAAAGCCTCCCAGGAAGACATCATTACTGCTCCTCACTCCTCAGGGGGTAGGGAAACAGAAATGCTCACACCTTCTGCTTAGCTTCCTGCTCCCAGGGTAAAAACCAGGGTAGCTTTTCATAGAAGTAATTTCAGACTTTGTAGAGAAGGCTGGGTTGGGTGAAGGATACTTGCCAGGGCACTGTTTCCCTGAATGCTGAAGAAAATCTGTCGCATAAAAATATGCTGCTTCTTTCTCAGACAGAACTGCTATCAGCTGAAAATCAGTCCTGCCTTTTTGTCTCTTTTCAAAAAAAAAAATTCAGTGATCCTTAATGTAGAATTTCCCTGAGCTAATGTAGACATAGAGACTGTCCTTAAAATCAGTGCATAGAAAAGGCACTCCTAAGGCGTGTACTTATCATGCAGAAATATATGCTGATGCCTAAAGTTAAAAACAAACAAACAAACAAAGGAAAAACAGTTACAGTAGGCCAGAAGGTCCATCTCACGCAGCTTCCCTTCCAGATAAAGGCCAAAAGTGCAGAGCAGAACATAAGAGCAGAGCAGGTGTATAGGATGCTTCCCCCATTATTCTTCTGGCTCTCAACTGGTAGGTGAGGTGGTAGGTGATGCCACTGTAATTTCCCCTTTGTTTTAATACGGGCCTGAGTCCGTACGTTTGAAAGGCACACACCTGGGATAAGACACATCTCACGCAGCTTCCTTTCAAATCCCACCGCAGTGGTCTGGGGAGAGACCTCCTAGGAACCACCAACACTGCCTTCCTCTTTGGCATCACTAGCTACCTTTCAGTGCAAAACAATATACAAGTTTCCCAAATACATCACTGTGGCAGATTAGAGAGGGATATCAAGGAGTTAGGAGCACAGGAAAATGATAGATCAAAGAGCCTTGTGTACACTCCTCTGAAAAACAGCAAGCAGTGTTATTTTAGG